TTTAAATCTCAGACAGGGTTTGTTTGTGCCTTTAAAAACTGGTTTTCTTAATCGACACCAAGGACTCGTGGTTGCGTCCTGAATATTGATATAGAAACTGTTTTAGAAACGACTAACAATAATTTAAGGTCAGATTAGTTTTTAGACTTGGAGTACAAGATAAAAGGCAAAGGGTCAAAGGGCAAATTGCGGATGTCAGGAATAAACGGGTACAAAGCATTTGAAATTCGAAATGTCGGATACAGTTAAATGAATAAAATTGGTTGTAATTATGTCTCTGACTCATAAAATTGAGAAAAAATAACTATCTAAAAGTGGAAGGCCTTCGGCATAATTCTGGTAATGGGTAAACTGATGACTAAAAGACTTAAATGAACTGTGTGAAAGAGGATATTCGAGAGAAGAGTATTTCTGAAGATCTTCTTAGTGGATCGTGATTTCGACCCATTGGTAAATTCAACGACGCATTGCTCCTGCTAAGGCTAGTGAGATAGCTTTTATCTCAGGTCAAGCCTGTGAGCTCACCTATCAGTCCGAGCGCAGCTGGAATAACCCTTAGGCTATCAGAGATTAGGTAGAGGTAAAAAAGGTGTGAGTGCAGAGATGACGTATAATTGAATAGATCTGAATGAAAAAAGACAATAGCTGCGCCGACCTAACCAGCATTTAATGGTAGGGCGTATTATAATTGTAACATTGACTACGCTCCTGCGTATTTTTACCACGGTATAATCATGCGTTACAGTTTGAAGGGTGACGCAACCGTTTATATCATCATCATCATCATCATCAACCGCCTGTTTTAGTCCACTGTTGGACATACATAGGTCTCTCCCAAGGCACGTCACATTTTATATATCTATACTAATCTATACTAATATATAAATCTACAATGATTTTTACGAATGTTCCGTTATAACTACTGAACTATGCATCCGATTGACTTGAAACTTGGTATCCATGTAGAAAATACATTTACTTAATGAATAGGCTAATATTTATATGAGTGTTGACTATATTAATATATAAATCTACAGTGGTTTTTACGGATGTTCCATTATAACTTCTGAACACTGCATCCGATTGACTTGAAACTTGGTATCCATGTAGAAAATACATGTACTTAATGAATAGGCTAATATTTATATGAGTGTTGGACTCCCTAATAATAATGACAATAAATAATAATGTTAATTTTAAATGCCCAGCGAAGCGGGCGAGTACAGCTAGTAAGTACATTATTAATGTAATGTCTATAATCTATATCCGATGAGCGTTGATAGACTCACAAAACCCAGCCAAATAACTGTCATTCTAACGTCACAGCCTGAAATCCCAATGGTCGCTTACATGAATGACCAACGCACACACCTTTCACGGAATATGCAAATGTAACAGCCCTGCATATTAATAGCGAGATCTCAGTGACGCTTGTCTCACCTCGAAAACGCCCGAAGATGTGTTTGTTACCTGACTTGGTGAAATATATGTTTTAGAACTTAGCAAGTAGAGGTCACGATTCGCCAACACTAAACGTAGAAGGTATAATAATAATAATAATAATGTTTTTATTTCAAGTATCCATGACTCATATAAATTGTTAATAAGACTTAGACCTATGTTAGTAGTTGTATTTACATCACAATGAATTACTGTGGTAACATCCCATGGGAGATGGCACCACAGCGATCCATGTATATACAGTCCAGCCTGCTTGCGATCATGCTCAGGATACTGTTGGAGCTGGCCTTCACTCTGTTTACCAGAGATGCACACCTCTTACGCATGGTAGCGTAAAAACAATCTATGTGCGCGTCTGCAAACATCCCTGATGCGCTACAAAAGCGGGGCAGCACCACCAGCACCCTAAACGCGTTATTGTATTGAACACGGAGAGCATTGTACGATCTTTGAGTATATCCAGCCCACAAGCTGCACGTGTAAAAGTTAGTACAGTAGNATTATTTAAATTCATATTATGGTAAATATGGTAGTTTGGACAATTGTTGTTTTTTGTATTGTAGGTTATCAATTATGTGTAATTTTCAGATGCCTGATGAAGGTCTAATAAAAGACCGAAACGTTGCTAAAATAATAATGTAATTTGTTATAATAGTCCTATCTTGTCCACATTCCTGAGATACACGAAAAATATTTTTCAGTATGTTAAAAATTTGAATTGGCGCGTAACCGCAACGATGCAACGCAATAACTGCAACACGGTCTTCTTTAAGCGTCCACTCGATATTTAAAAATGAGTCAAATTCTAAAAGTATAAATTTTTATTTTCATGAACAATTCGAAATTCGAATTCAATAAACTTTTTTGTGGCCAGCATTCTAAGAGAAAAGTTTTTACTGTGTGACAATACTTATGACCTGACTAGTTATAAGAATCTATGTCATAAGAATCTATGTTTTGTTTAGTTCATTTTGGTATATGAATGGTTACATAATGAATAAACTTGTTTCAATTATTTTACATTAAACATGTGACAGAATTTATGACCTGACTAGGTAATTATTGGTTTTTACGGATGTTCCGTTATAACTACTGAACCGTGCATTAGATTGACTCGAAACTTGGTATCCATGTAGAAAATACATTTATTTCATGGATTATGAGTGTTGGACTCCCTAATAATAATGAGAATAAATAATAATGTTAATTTTAAATGTCCAGCGAAGCGGGCGAGTACGGCTAGTACATTAAGAATTTACATTTCGTCGTAATGTCTCTAGGTAAGTGACGGCATACACGTTCTGATGTCTATAGGCTATATAACCCCACGTGATTCATCGATTCATCATACACTCATTTACGCATTAAAAGAAAACAAAGACCGAATTTAACGTGTAACTTATTTCATTCAATCTATTGTGACAAGATCTTTATCCGTTGATAGGCTCACAAAACCCAGCCAAATAACTGTCATTCCAACGTCACAACCTGAAATCCCAATGGTCGCTTACATGAATGACCAACGTACACACCTTTCACGGAATATGCAAATGTAACAGCCCTGCATATTAATAGCGAGATCTCAGTGACGCTTGTCTCACCTCGAAAACGCCCGAAGATGTGTTTGTTACCTTACTTGGTGAAATATATGTTTTAGAACTTAGCAAGTAGAGGTTCGAAGTCGTCGTGGCCTAAACGATAAGACGTCCGGTGCATTCGTGTTGAGCGATGCACCGGTGTTCGAATCCCGCGGGCGGGTACCAATTTTTCTAATGAAATACGTACTCAACAAATGTTCATGATTGACTTCCACGGTGAAGGAATAACATCGTGTAATAAAAGTGAAACCCGCAAAATTATAATTTGCGTAATTACTGGTGGTAGGACCTCTTGTGAGTCCGCGCGGGTAGGTACCACCGCCCGGCCTATTTCTGCCGTGAAGCAGTAATGCGTTTCGGTTTGAAGGGTGGGGCAGCCGTTGTAACTATACTGAGACCTTAGAACTTATATCTCAAGGTGGGTGGCGCATTTACGTTGTAGATGTCTATGGGCTCCAGTAACCACTTTTAACACCAGGTGGGCTGTGAGCTCGTCCACACATCTAAGCAATAAAAAAAAAAAGGTCACGATTCGCCAACACTAAACGTAGAAGGTATATAATTAGTTTTTTTGGTCTTGTGCAGATGATATCACAACCAAGAAACACGACAGCGTATTACAACAACATTAATTAACAAAATTATCCACACATTGGGCAAATATTCGTATAATTAACAGGTTTATTTGCTCTGTGTTTGGGTGTTTGTTATCTATTTATGTATATATTTAATCATATATGTACGTCAGTATTTGATATCTATAGCACAGGAAATCCTAATTTAGGGCTGGATGTTTTTGTGTGATTTGTTCCTATTTCCCAGCTATTATTAGATGACTGACAGTAAACATAAATTTCTGTAAATTACTCAAAGAATGCTCTAGCGAATTTATTAGTCACGGTAAGAAATAGGATGGTGTTAAATAGGTAACCGCATTGTCCAAAATTGTCGAAATGAAGACAACCAGTACTCGTTAAGCTGGTTCTGTGATTATCATACTAAAGAACAAAGCCCTAAAAATATACATTGCCTGAATAAAGAATTAGAATAGTTCTAATTCGATCGTATTCCAAGTTAATTGTCGGTGCAAAACATACGTATGACGCAATTATTTGTAGGTTACATCGGTTTTAATAAAAATTCCGTTGTTTTCTTCTAACGTAGTGTTTTTTTATCGGCTTTGATGGGGCGTGGAGATAATTGTCGTCCTCGTGTTCAATAGTTACCGGAGTTCGTAGTAATCGAAGTATCTATTGACTTGAGATCTTCCCTCTTGAGATCTTCCCTAGGAATCGGAAAGCATAATTGCTACACAACAGCATAAACGCGAGACAGTTGTAACAACCTGATCGTTTTCACTAAACACAGCGTAAAGCTAAAAGACAAGCAGAAGAAATAAAAATGTAAACGAATCGATTAGTACAATATTTATCTGTTTGGCCTTGAATGAAGCACAATGATTACGTAACACACGAAAAGCGTTCATACGCAACTAAATCATTAGGCTAAACGTTTTAATCTATCGAATCCGGGTTCTCTCCTTGACCGGAATACCGAGAGCAGTAAATATTTACATGTTCCCAAACAAAATTCACCTGTTTTGTAAAACAAACCCACGGAATATGATTTAGAACCGCAAAATCGGAAACAAACGTGCGCCAGAAGCACGAAANCGTAACACACGAAAAGCGTTCATACGCAACTAAATCATTAGGCTAAACGTTTTAATCTATCGAATCCGGGTTCTCTCCTTGACCGGAATACCGAGAGCAGTAAATATTTACATGTTCCCAAACAAAATTCACCTGTTTTGTAAAACAAACCCACGGAATATGATTTAGAACCGCAAAATCGGAAACAAACGTGCGCCAGAAGCACGAAAATATTACAGCTATTGTTTAGCTAATTTCGTTTGATTAACGTTCGTTTTTGTTGTTTCAGGCAGTCGGCCGGAGTAAACGTAAACTCGAAATGAGATGAGTATGCGCGTGGCCTGGGTCAGATGGTATTGGGTTGTGATACTTACCACGTGCGCCGCGAGGACCGCCAGCGATTGGCTCGACTGTTCTCACATCGCCACATGCAAATGCAAATGGTCCTCCGGAAAGAAGACAGCCACCTGTGTCTCCGGTGACCTGCGCCGTCCGCCCACACTCTCTTCGGATATACAAGTATTGGATCTACACGACAACCCATTACGGAGCTTACCCCAAGAAGTGTTTTCGAATATTGGCCTTCTAAACTTACAACGATTGAATCTACGAGCAACGAGTCTCAGATTTTTACACGCGGACGCGTTCTTAGAATTAAGGATACTAATTGAAGTCGATTTAGGAGACAACGACCTAGCTCACTTGCCAAAAGACATATTCAGAGGCAACGAACGATTGAGGCTGGTCGTTCTGAGCAATAATCCTTTAACGACGTTAATTGCGGACCAGTTCCCGCCGCTTCCTCATTTACGGATCCTTTTATTAGACGGATGCAGATTAAGATCGATACACACGAATGCCTTGCGCAATTTGAAGTCGTTAGAGACAATAGATTTGCGTAGAAATCAACTATCATTCCTCCGGTTGATTACATTTTCGTTGCCGGCTCTAAAGACTGTTGCCCTCTCTGGGAATCCGTGGAAATGTGATTGTAGGCTACGCGAGTTTAAAGACTGGTTCTTGGAAAGTAATCTAGGAACCGAGGAACTGTTCTGTGTTGAGCCATTGAAGCAAACTGGATCAAAGTGGCGGCAAGTGCCTAGTGAAAATATGTCGTGTCCCCCTGAAGTAAAGTCTAGTACATTAATAGTAAGAGCGGAGGTTGGTATGGCTGCTTCTTTTGGCTGTTGGGTTCACGGACTGCCAAAACCAAAAGTGACATGGTTATTTGATGGTGTAGATGTACACAACAGTTCTATCGATTGCGACATGGAAGAGATAGAAACGATCATAGAAGAAGACTCGGAAGAAAGAGTTCCGGGAAGTGTAAGATGGGTAAATATAACCCTCTTGAATGTAACATCGAATGCAGCAGGAGAATGGACATGTGTGGCAAAAAGTGTAGCTGGTGATGCAAGAGCGATTATCAGTCTAGTACTTCCAAGATCACAAACAGCAACGGCAAGAACCGCTCCGGGGATTCCTCAACTGTTAGGAGTAGTTTTTGGTGCATTGAGTATTTTAGCTACCCTCGGTTTTATAGGTGCTGTTGCGTGCTGGAAGTTAAGACGACGAAGCGTACCGCCAAGTCGAAGTTTCACGGACCAAGAGAAAAGACTTATAGACGCGTCTGTTGTAGTCAGCTGTGATAGANGATCACAAACAGCAACGGCAAGAACCGCTCCGGGGATTCCTCAACTGTTAGGAGTAGTTTTTGGTGCATTGAGTATTTTAGCTACCCTCGGTTTTATAGGTGCTGTTGCGTGCTGGAAGTTAAGACGACGAAGCGTACCGCCAAGTCGAAGTTTCACGGACCAAGAGAAAAGACTTATAGACGCGTCTGTTGTAGTCAGTTGTGATAGATCTATCGGTAATATGGCTTCTCCTTGCGATTTTGAACTAACGGAACAATCTTTAGGGGACGACCAACCAAGAACGTGTTCGTTTGATCCCGTTCATATAACAATAGAAGGTACCCCTGGTGCATTTCCGCCACCGCCCGCTGAGTTTGCAGTGCCGGTACCTTATGGAAACATCTTCATATCGGTTCAAGTTTCTGGCAGAGGTGAATCAGGAAAGTATCCAGATTTATTGAGTGGTGGAGCAACTTTACCGAGACGGAACAGATCCTGTTGTGGAGCTCCAGCTTACGATAACATGGGTCCAAGAGTGACTGCCACCGGAAGCTCGACTTGGTCTTTGCCGGGTGCCAACTTGGAGCATGTAGAACTATCAGAAACTCCTGTTTTAACGCTCCCTCCCCCTCCACCGGAGTTTGTTTCACTTTAGCCAAGGTCCCTGGTACTGGACGCCTCAGCTCTGAGGTGACCTGGTGCCATGAGGTTTGTCAATTAGATTCCCAAATCCTTATTAAGTTAATACCGCAAATTGAATAAATGCGTTAATCTATGAATTATATTGAGGTATGAAATATTAAAAGCTATTAAAGATGGATTTCCGTAAATTTCTGATATTGTAAATAACGAAATTAAGTGTGGACGATGTGTGACATCCCGTGAGATTAAAATAGGATTGTTAATGGTATTGAACTGTATATTGCATTTAAAATGACCTTGTTGATAGATTGGGTACAGATTGAAGTTTAAATGTTACTTCTAGAGTTGTATAATTTTGGATCGTTTCATATATGTAAACTAATTAAGATAATTTAGATTCTACAAATAGATAGTTCTTTATAGATCCCTTTTTATTCATTTTTATTGTGTTTTTATCGACCAAATAATTGTTTAATCTATTTTAACATCCATAATGAACAACTCTAGATTTTAAATGTTTTATTTGGTTTTCCAGGCGTTTCCTTTCTTTAAGAGTCTATTAAATGTTCGTCTTCCTGACTTTTGTAAATATCCTTTATTTATACAAATTTCCCAAATATAAGACTGACCCTTTTGTCTTGTTTTTGTCTCTCTTTTTAAACGTAAGCCTAACGTTGTGTTCGGCAGAAAATGAAATGAAATTTTTTCCACCAATTGACTACACTGGCTTGTGAAGAGTTTTTTATACTTATTCACATGATGTTTGGTACTGCTCAATTAATAGTAAAAGTGTTTGAAATGCAACTATAACTTTTTTATATTCGGTAAAAAAGAGCAAAAGGTTCATAATTACATTTTTAACTTACAGAAACATCAAAGTATATCAAACCTCACGAAGGTAACTTAGAATATTCGTCGATTAAAAATTTTATATTCTTCATAATTTATATATAAGAAAATCGTGCAGTCATGCTAACTGTAATTTAGATTACGTCGCGGAGTCAAGCTCTTCATTTCTGCCAAAAACAACGTAATATATTATGTAAAAAGCTGTACAGCATAGTCAGAATAGCTTCTAAACAATTTTCCTTTCGAAAAGAATATCTCAGATTATAATAATAAGTTAGATGAAGCGTCTCCAACAGTGATATGACAAAGTAAAGTTTTATAAAATTAATAACGTGACACAGTGAAATTGTTGAAAACGCTACGTCTAACCTCGTTTTGTACTCTGAAAATCAAACATTATCTAATGTAAAGGAATAAACTGAACGAATAAAGTGTTCCGTGGTTTTATTTCAGTATTAAACTAAGTCCGACTATTTGGATTTGTTTGTATGTGTCAATAAATATAGAATTGCGCCAGTTTTTACTGTTCGGATTCATTACGGATTTATCGTGTCGCTGATAGTAAATAAGGTGATTTTGATTGGCTTTGAGATTCATATAGCTGGATTTTTAGCTCACTTTGGCTCTGAAGAAATTGGCGTAGCTATTGGCGAAAGTTAGCTCACAGCTAACTTTAATAGCCAGTCTATGAAAGTCAATGTCAAAATTCATGAATTCTATGAACACGATTCAATGAAGGTGCCCATTACTGAATAATATCTATTGTTTTTTATTGAAACTTCAATGCTTAGAGCAAAAAGAGTCGTGTTAGCGTTCTATTTGCCACACCTATTTTTTAATTTTTTTGTTGCTTACGTTTGTGGAAGAGCTCACAGCCCGACTGGTGTTAAGTGGCTATCGGAGCCTATAGACAACTACAACGTAAATGCCGCTACCCACGTCTCAGTGTAGTTACAATGGCTGCCCCTTCCAACTGAAACGCATTACTGCTTCACGGCAGAAATGGGCAGGGTGGTGGTACCTACCCTCGCAGACTCACAAGAGGTTCTACCACTAGTAAAATCAGTAAATCAGTACGTTTAATACAAGATGACAAAATGTATAATATATTAATACGCTTTTATTAGCTTCAAACGTATGCATGTATGTTTGTAACGGAATCTTTGAACATGATTTTGACCCCTTTCAAAATAGTGCGGACTAACAAAAGGTCCTACCACCATTAAGCTATTCTTTTTTTTCCCTACCTATGCTGATAGCCTTGAGAGGCTATTTCAGCTTCACACTAACGTGTGTAGGTGAGCTCGCGGGGCTCAAACCGGTGTGTTGCTAACACTGACCCTAGCAAGAGCAGTGCGTCGCAGAATCTACCACCGGATCGGAAACGCGACCCACTGAGAAGATCCGGCGTGAAACTCAGTGGGCTGTGTCTATGGGTTAACTTCGACGGGTTCGACGAGGACGGTGACCTGGGCTATTCCTTCTTGCTATTTGGAACCAATAACGTTTCCAATTATCTCTCTTTCCAATCTTCGGATTGTTTTACTAAAATGCTGTAGAGAAGTTCACATTTTACCTAGTTTTACGTCATTAGTTAAGTCAAATATAATTTTATGTTGAGTTATGAGGCGCAGAACGAAGCAAATGGTAAAACTTATGCCTCATCTTCAAGCTGGAATGTTTCAATGCTGCTTCATAGAAATGGGCAGGTCGATCTTTTTCTATCTACGCTGTCTAATCCTATCTATGTATGTTGATATTGCCTTTAGAAAAAAGGGAAATTTGATTTACTAATTGTGAAATCATGTGAGATATTTAATTGGTTAGGAAATATTATTATGGTATCTGCTTCAAGACCGTTAATAGCCTATTCAAGTTTTACTACTTCCAAACGAAATATGTTTTCAGATAAAATTATAGGATTGGTAAGAACGGAACGTATGAAAAGAGTGTGGAATGGAGCGTTATGATGTGAGTGAGAGAAAACGGAAAGAAAGAGAGAAGAGAATGACAGACAGAATAACAGAGAATTGGAAGGTGGCGAGGACGGTTGAAAAATGCACAAGACGTAATAAAAGTGTTACTTATTAATTATTATTAGAACAAAAGATTTTGGAACAGTGGAAGTTATATTTTATGCGCTTCGATCCCTGTTCTACAGAATTGTATAACAAATTTCAGTTGTCTTTACCATTCTTAACACCTTCGTTTGAATGAAAGATTTTGAAGATAATCTTGGTCTAGTATTATCTTATTTTTTACCCAATAATCGTAAAGAATTTGACCCGATATCATAAGCTTCTTCCATTTGACTCCATACAGAGGAGGGCCCGGTCTCACGGATCGTTTGGAACCTCTGGGTCTGCGGAGGGACTTCGGTTCCCTCTGTATTTTGTACCGTATGTTCCATGGGGAGTGCTCTGAGGAATTGTTCGAGATGATACCGGCATCTCGTTTTTACCATCGCACCGCCCGCCACCGGAGTAGAGTTCATCCATACTACCTGGAGCCACTGCGGTCATCTACAGTGCGTTTCCAGAGGTCTTTTTTGCCACGTACCATCCGGCTATGGAATGAGCTCCCCTCCACGGTGTTTCCCGAGCGCTATGACGTGTCCTTCTTCAAACGAGGCTTGTGGAGAGTATTAAGCGGTAGGCAGCGGCTTGGCTCTGCCCCTGGCATTGCTGAAGTCCATGGGCGACGGTAACCACTCACCATCAGGTGGGCCGTATGCTCGTCTGCCTACAAGGGCAATAAAAAAAAAAAAANATCCGGCTATGGAATGAGCTCCCCTCCACGGTGTTTCCCGAGCGCTATGACGTGTCCTTCTTCAAACGAGGCTTGTGGAGAGTATTAAGCGGTAGGCAGCGGCTTGGCTCTGCCCCTGGCATTGCTGAAGTCCATGGGCGACGGTAACCACTCACCATCAGGTGGGCCGTATGCTCGTCTGCCTACAAGGGCAATAAAAAAAAAAAAAGCTTTCCTCAAAATGAATACACCAAACAAAAGTAAGCTGAAACAAGCGCAAATGATTAGTAAATAAATAGCTTAACTGCAACAAAGCATTAGGCTAATGACTTTAGTTCGAGAAGTTTGTTTACAACAGTCGTTACGGATCATTTTCATTGAGAGAACGAGCTTGTTACAACTTAGCGTTGAGAGTTAAGTTTGATTTCGTTAATAAATAATGTTTTCGAATGTATTTATTAATTGCAATTTGTTTGTTTGGCTTGCGCAGGTAGAACGTCCGTGTATCGCCTTTTCGCATTAAAAGTGTACAATTTCCAAAAATATTCGGAATTGAGTTAATATGCGTAAACATTTGGTAGGTATCACCAGTAATTTTCTCATAAATACTTTCAAAAGAGCGTAGTTTAGGCTAGTTTTTTTTTTTTTAGTTTACATAATTTTATTTTACTTTAAAAGGCAAATAATGTAACTTACTGGTAAAAAATAAAAATAAAATGTTGCAAATATGATAAATATTAAAAATATTACATGTTAAGCCTTTAAAAAAACACTCTTCTGTAAAATTAGTAAGTTTTGAGATTATTCAGTTTTAATGCGAGAAGACGATATGTTGTTGATAGTGGACTCGGTTTAAATTCTATTTCTTCAGAGAAACGATCCGGTTTTTGTTTCCTACCTATGCTGATAGCCTTGAGAGGCTATTTCAGCTTCCCTCTAACGTTTGTAGGTGAGCTCACGGGGCTCATACCGGAGAGTTGCTAACACTGACCCTAGCAAGAGCAGTGCTTCGCAGAATCTACCATCAGATCGGAAACGCGACCCACTGAGAAGATCCGGCGAGAAACTCAGTGGGCTGTGTCTATGGATTAGTTCGCTCGTCGAGCCCTTCGTCGCAAGCGACGGGTTCGACGAGGACGATGAACGATCCGGAGCCTCGAATGAACACTGCACTGGGTGGTTTCTGAGCCATTGCTAAATGGTTAGTTTATTTTTTAGACAAGGTATATCAACAATGTATTTAAGGCTTAAAATCAGAATGTGGATAAGCGTTACAGAAATTGAAACAACTTCTCATTACTAAAACAGTATGAGCGACTGTCGAATGGATCGATCGAATACTCATCCATTTGGCTTTATCACATGTTTGGTATTCGCGGTAGAAATAATTGGTGTCACGTTGGTCTGAACAATACGAGGCTAAGGCGTATCAAAAGACGCAACCAAATTTTCTAAGTAAATACGTATTGAACACGTGTATTCGACTTACTTCTTTGGAAGGTTAATGACAAAGGGAAGATCTTCCAGCGAAATCATGATGTTGTTTGGTAGTTCCAAATGTTTTTCTTCGAAACTTATGTTCAAAATGTCGTTAGCCAGATACAGATACCTGTCAGATATCTTTTGTTCTATGATGGCTACCGCCACGAAGAAGGAATAATAATATCGTCTAATGAAAAACAAAAAGTGGTAAATATTCGTAATAAATAATCACATGACAAGACTTTGTGCAGACGTGCATGGTTCCCTCTTAGTCTGACCGGGTTCTGACTACGGGCGGAGATCGGACGTTGGTTGTGAGAGTGCAGGGGAGTCGTTTAGTGCATTACGCCCTAAAATATCCTTGGGCCCGCGGTTCGCAGTCGCGGACCAGTCCCACATACCCCGCGCACCCCTTAGGCGTGGGGACCTCGAAGGACGTTCAGCCTCCGGCTCAAAAAAAGAGACGTCCACGGTTCAATTATTTCTAGTGCAAGGTAGAGGGGGAAGAGGTCGAACGAAGAAGACATGGATGGAGTATGTGAATGACGATATGAGAGAAAGAGAAGTGAGCGTTGAGATGACGGCTGATAGAAGATAATGGAATAGAAAAACTAGCTGTGCCGACCCCACCCAGTGGGATAAGATGGAGAAAAAGAAGAAGAGGTTAGATTATTTCTAGTGTTTGTAGTGTGTAATTTTGGTTTGATCATATTAACTCCCAATTTGTCGTAAAAAAAAAATCTATCTCTGAAGACTTCCAGTATACCCACCCTACAATTAATATATTTTATTTTTACTTTTTACTGCTTAGATGGGTGGACGAGCTCACAGCCCACCTGGTGTTAAATGGTTACTGGAGCCCATAGACATCTACCACGTAAATGCGCCACCCACCTTGAGATATAGGTTCTAAGGTCTCAAGTATAGTTACAACAGCTGCCCTACCCTTCAAACCGAAACGCATCACTGCTTCACGGCAGAAATAGGCAGGATGAGGGTGCCTACCCGTGCGGACCCAATGCAGACAATTGTTGGCATTCTAAAGAATGTTGCTATTTGTGATAAAGATGCCGCGAGCGAACTGGTAAGTGACTGGTCCAGTGAACATATTACCACATCAAGTTTGTAGTGTACTATCAAAGGCTTATTGTAAGTAGTTGACGGTAGATAAGTTACAGAAGTGAATGTCTTA